TACCAGGAACCAATTCAATAATCTTCTTAATATAAATCCCAGTAAATGGCAGCCAGTTTGACCTCCAGTGAATGAGCTGCAGATCAGCATGTAGAGAGTGCTAATGGTTTTGTCAGGAAAGTACTTTCCATCACAGTCTCATGGAATAAAAGGGACAGTAATAACATGGATATGAAATTGACTGAGTGACAAGAAATAATATGGATATTGTGGGATTGTGTGCAATAACAACAGCCTCTTTATTGAGCATCTGCAGTCGCACAGTTTGAGGCAGCAATGGAATCCAAAGTACAGTTTTACACTAGCCTCTTTAATACATAGTTTTTACATACATTAAAATTTTAGCATTATGGTGTCACATAGTTGTATCTATTGTACACATGTTTGCGCGACGTCGTGGCCTGGGAAAGCAGAAGATAGTTTAAGCACTTGCTAAATGCTGGCTGTTACTCCTGTTGGGATTAGAATGTCTGCCTGGTCTGAGCTTGCACAATTAAAAGGTGTCAGTCCTTTTGTCTTTAAAGTTAGTTAGAGAAATGCTAGACCTGTATGATCTAAATAAGTGAGAAGTTATACGTGTACTAAATAAAAGAATGGAGAATATTAAATTGATCTCCCGCAGCTGGGTTGTTAGATTTCATTTACTATTGTTAGTTTTGACAGTTCTTACACATTCATTCATGCAGTTTCACGGAAGTCTTGTTTTGATAATAAAGGGATAGCGGCCTTATTTAATATGTATTTAAAAAGTACATACCAGCGGAGGAAACTGTTTGATGTTGTGCAACCTATTCAGGTCCCGAGAGACAGTTGCTAAGGGCTAATTAATATTATAATCTTTCCATAGTTTTGAATGAGTTATAGAGACACAATGGCAGGGTTGGCATTGTTCTGAGTAGGTTAGGGTATTAACACTTATTCAGGGTAGCGGTTGATACAGGAACAGGCCTAAATGCTGCTTGCAGCATGGGGTCAACAAGAATTGAAAGGTATAAAGAAGCAGTAATTGGTTGGAAGGGATGTTTAGTTTAAAAGTTTTATGAATGAATGAATGAATGGAAACATGGTATAGTAAACACAGTTTGCTTGAGAGTGAGTTAGTAAAAAGTTATGAATGAATGGAAACATGGCATAGTAAACAGCTTGTGAGTGAGTTGGTAAAGAGAATCATAATACAATATCTCATAATATGAAATTGGCTGAGTGAGAAAGAGTCATGGTAACCTGTATTCAGAATCTAGATCCCTATTATGTACACAGGGCACCATTTCAAAATGTGAGAATAGCTCAAAATGTATCGTGAACTATGAGGAGATTAGTGTTAAACCTTAAAACAGCAGACAGGATGGTAGAGTTGGCAGACAAGTAGCAGATGAAATTGAATGCAAAGAAGTGTAAAGTGATTCACTTTTGAAAGATGTAGAGCAACTGTACAAAATAAAGAATACAGTTCTAAAGGAGTTCAAGAGCAGAGGAACTTGGGTGTATTGGTGTATAAATCACTGAAGGTGGCAGGACAAGTTGAGACTGCGGTCATTATAACAAGCAGCATTCTGGGATTTCTCAGCAGGAGCACAGACTTTAAAACAAGAAGTAAATGCTGAAACTGTTGAAAGTAATGATTAGGTCTCTGGTACCCAAAACTGGACAACTGACTACAGGAACAATATGAAAGCATTAGAGATTATGAAGTAAAAATTCACAAGAATGGTTCCAGAAATTAGGGATTTCAGTTATATGGATCAATTGGAAAAGCTGGGATTGTTTTTGTTGAAAATGAGAAGATTGAAAGGGGATTTGATCCATGTATTCCAGGGGTCTGGACAGAGAACAATTCCCGTTGATGGCAGGATTGAAAATTAGAGGATAGTATTTTACATTTTTACTGCTACGTGAAAAAGGTGAGAATGTGGGGACTCAGTCAGATACTCTTAGAAAGTCAGCACAAATGCAATTTAGGCTGAATGACCTCCTGTGCTTTGAGTTTTATGATTCTGACCTCCTTTAGTGGCTTTAGAACATTTTTGATACAAAGAAGTACAAATATACTTTTAAAAATGTTTTAATTCCTTTCTAAGCAGTTTGTACATCTTATTTTTATTCATTCATGGGATGTGGTCATTGCTAGCTGGCCAGCATTTATTGCCAATCCCTAGTTGTCCTTGAGAAGATGGCAGTGAACTGCCACCTGCTGTGGGTAGGCCCACAAGGCCTTTAGGGGAAGTATTCCAGGATTTTGGCCCAGTGATATGGAAGGAACAGCGATATATTTCCAAGTCAGGATGGTATTCCCATATATCTGCTGCCCTTGTCCTTCTAGATGGAAGTGGTCATGGGTTTGGCAGGTGCTGCTTCAGGATCTTTGGTGAATTTCTGCAGTGCATCTTGCTGCTACAGAAGGTATTGGAAGCAGGGTCATTGAAAATTTTTAAGACTGAAGTGGATATTTTCAGGAGACTCAAACATTATTGAGTGTTGACGAAAATGTGCTATTCAAAATACTGCTGGATCAGCTAGGGTCTTAGTAAGTGGTGGAGCAGGCTTGAGGGGCTGAATGGCCACTTCAAGTACTAAACTGTATATTTGAAAAGTGGGCTCAAATCGTAGGAAGAGGTGATCAAGACTGCCTCATAGGCAGCCCAGGTGTGGGACCATTAGGGTTTTCCCTGGTTGAATAATACTGGTCACGTGACCATTGTAATATGGTGGTTGAAAAATTCTTTGAAAGTTTACCAGGATGCTGTCTCGGCTGTGGGTCTGAGTTATGAGGAATGGTTGAACAGATTGGGTTGTTTCTTTGGAGCAGCTAAGTTTGAAAGGGGAACCTGATCAAGGTGCATACGATGAGGAGGGGCCTAGATAGGGTGGATAGAAGGCACTTTTTTCCATTAGTAGTGAGGTCAATAACCAAGGGTTATAGATTTAAGATAACAGGTGGAAGGCTAAGGGGAGAGTTGATGAGAAATGTTTTCACTCATTAAGTGGTGGGTGTCTGGAGCTCACTGCCTGAAAGAATGGTTGAGTCTGAAACTCTCAACATTTCAGGAGTATTTGGATGTTAACTTGTGGTGCCATTGCCTCCAGGGCTAAGGGCCAAAAGTGGAAAAATAGGATTTGTGCAGTTAGATCTTTGTGGACTGATGCAGAGATGGGGGCTGAATAATCTCCTGTAAAGGTTTGTGATCCGTTTATTATACACGTGGTGAAAATATGTTGGTGTTTTGTGTAGGTACTGAATCTGATTGTGGGCATTCCCCAAAGTTAGTTATTTTCTCCCATTGTCCAAAGGTTGCATATGCTGCCTTGAACCAGTGATAGCATTCTCTCCTTTAAATCAGATGATCATGAGCTCATGTATCCATAATACAGAAACTACAACTGTAGTACCCTGGGACAGTTAGGGGCTGATCCAGAAAACATCAGGTTAAGCCTTGAGCAGCAACATGCAGCTGCATTAGTCCAGGATGAATTAAAATTAAATCATCTTTCATGACCTCAGGATGTGCCACGGTGCTTAACAGCCAAGAAGTTTAGCTGGTGTCATTATGTAGAAAACAGCAGCAAATACTGAAGTGATAGTAACCAGATAATTTGTTTGTGCTGTTAAATGAGGCTATTGACCAGGACACTAGGGATAATTCCTCAAACTAGTGCTGTGGCATCTTTTCCTTCCACCTGAAAGGTCTTGGTTTCTTGTCTCACCTGAAAGATTGCAACACTACCCTAGTGCTACAGTGGGAGTGTCAGCCTGCATTATTCTCATATACACTATTCTCAGTCCTTACCTTCTGACTTGGGTTTGGAAATTCTGGCCATGTGTTTGTCCAGTGAAATTTAAAACTGAAATATCTTCAATTCTAAAATACTTTGTATTAAAGCTCACTACTTTTTTGAAGCTATCCATTATTAGTTTGATCTGGTGATATTAAATATCACAGTATCATAATAACATATGAGATTTCAGATTAATCTATGGTAGAACATGAGCTCTTAGCTCAAGAGATTGCTGTAATCGTAGAGTTAATTTTCAAACATCCCCAGAGTTACAGCTATTTTCTCTCATTGTCCAAAGGTTGCATATGCTGCCTTGAACCAGTGATAAAATTTCAAACATCCTAGGGAATTACCTGTGAGACCTGAGAGTTCTGATTTACACATAGCTTCCAGGGTTTGGCTGATCAGAGGCAAGTTGCATTTTCTGTACACAAGTACCAGGCAATGATCATCTCTGACATTGCTGCTTGACATTTCATTATTGAATCCCCCAATATCAACATCCTGGGGGCCACCATTGACCAGAAGCTGATCTGGATCAACCACGTAAATAGTTTGGCTGCAAGAGCAGGTCAGAGCCTAGGAGTCCTGGAAAAGTAACTCACCTGTCTCCCCAGAGCCTGTTCAGGATGGTAGACAGGCTTTGGGGAGTCAGAATGAATACAGCTCCCAACAATTCTTGAGAAGCTTGATAGCATCCAGAACAAAGCTCTTGATTGGTACCCCATCCACTATCTTCCACATTCAGTCCCTCTACTACCACACACAGTGACAGTAGTGTGTACCATCTGTAAGATAAACTGCATTGATTCACTGAGGCTCCTTAGTCAGCACTTTCCAAGTTGCAAACTGTACCATCTAGAAGGACAAGGGCAGCAGCTACATGGAAACTCCTCCATCTGCAAGATCCCCTCCAAGTAACTCATTGGCCTGACTTGGAAATATATCGCCATTGCTTCCATATCACTGAGTCAAAATCTTTGAATTGTCTCTCTCACAGCATTGTGGTATCCACAGTGCCTTCACTGCAGCAGTTCAAGAAGGCAGCTCACCACCACTTTGTCAAGGGCAGGTATGGATTGGCAATAAATGCTGGCCCACATCCCGTGAGTGAATGAAATATCACAAGATGTTAACTCTGTTTCTGTCTCTAAAGATCCTGCCATAACTGGGAAATCTTTTCACCACTTTCTACTGACATCTTGCATTCTCTTTGTATCTTGCAGATTCCTGGAGCTGATGGATACCAAGAACCGGGGTTTCAATTCTCCCATAGCAACCAATGGTCAAAGCCCATCTTCTGGATCACAGTCACCTGTGGTACCCCCAAGCTCAGCATCCACTACCAACTCCAGCCCTGGAACACCTCAAGCTCCTGTGCAAGCATCTCCCACTCCATCAATGTCCCCTCCACCAGCATCAGGGTCACCCCTGACTGACCCAGGCCTGGCGCCTGAGGTATCCCCCACACCTCTCAGTGCGCCCCCTGTTGCCAGCAGCAACCAGGCTGCACCGGTCTTTCAGCGTCGCAGCTTCATCTCACGACTGTTTGGTCCCTCTTCCACACCAGAACCTCCTGTTACCAAGGCTGGTAAGACATTGAACAACTTAGGGGCTATACACTGGATAGGGGTAGATAGAAACAAGCTCAGTCCTCTGCTAGGGAAGAAATTGGAACAGAGTCTTTTAGGTAGGAAATCGGGAAACATTTCTTGGATATAGGGAACAGAGACTCCAGCATCAGCAGTTCCTACTATTTCAGAGTCAAGTAAAGGTTGTGGATGCTGATAATTTCCAAGCTGAGGTCGGAGGTTTTTGTAAGTTGGATGATGGTATCGAGCGATTCATGTGATTGAGTGGAGATGTGCTGCTATTGGTGCGTCATGTTGGGAATCTGACCGAGGGGCAGAACAGCCTCCCCTTCCTCGTGAATGAGGTTTGGGAAGCTGACCTGTGACCTGGGAAGTCAGTGGTTTCTGGAGTCTTTGTGGAACGGGGGATTAGTCAGCCTGAAACCACTCAATTCTTAATGTTCATTTATTGCCTCTGTTAACCTGCAACTCACTGTTCACTTGATAAGATTGATTGTAAGCCCCAGTTGTGATGTAATTGCAACATGCCCCTCCTGCCCGCTTCAAATCTCCCCCCGCCCAATCCACCCTTCCGCGCCTCCCCTCACTCTTCCTACACACCACTCATCCTGCTCCCCTACACTTTATCCCCACTTCTCCACGACCTCTCCTTGACCACCCTGACATTGAGCTGCCCTCGCTTCTCCCTGACCCCTCGTTTCTTGCCGCACCCTCCCCCTCACGTCCTGGGTTACTACCCTCAACCACACCCTTCCCGGATCATTCCCCTTCACTCCCTGCTCCCCTTGCTCCCTACCAACACATTTCCCTCCTCCCAAGCACTCATTCAACCATCCAGCCCCTTTCAACCCACTGCTCTCCCTTTTGACCCCGCAATTCTCCCTTCACTGCCGACTCCACTTTGCTGTCCACACAGCACCCTGATACCACTTGCATTCCCCTCCTTGTTCGTCCCCTTTCGCTCCCCGCTCATCAGTCTGTTTTCATTGACCCTCAACCAACCCCATTACTGCTTTCATTTGTATATAGTTGCTCCACCTTTCGTCCATTCCTGTCTCCTAGCCTCCCCCCACACCCCAATCACTCCTCTCTTCCCCTGCTGCTGTCATTCATTCCTCTCATCTGCCTCTTCACCTATTCCCTTTTCCCCTTTCCTTCCTTGCTCGTCCCTATCTTCACCTGCCCTAGCCCATTCCCCCTCATCCATACTATTCTCATCCCCATCTCTCTCCACTTGCTCCCTCACTCGCTGCGGTCTATCTCTCCAATTCCTATGGCTCTTCCGCCCTCTTTCACATCTCCACACTGCGCCACCTCCGTCTGATCCTGAATCGCTCTGAACTGCTCTCACCTAATTCTAGACTGTTCTGCACCATCAAGGCTTATCGTAGTGCCGCCTCCTCTATCTTGCTGTTTCCTGAGTTCTCAGTACACAGATGTCCTCAGTTCCCCGCTGACGTGTCCCTCCTCTCTTTCCCTGCCCTTTGTCTTGCCTCCGGCACCACCTCCAGCTCCCTGTACAAAGTCAAACCTCTCCTGATGCCAACCTTCTTATATAGATACCACATCTCCGATCTCCCCGGAGGGAGAAGTGAAAACAGAGAATGTTGATGACTTCGTCCCTGATGAGGGAATTGACAAGAGCTTCCTCGAGGATCCAACTCCCCAGAAGGAAAGTAACTGTGGGACACAGCAGGAGAGTGACAGGTAGGAATTTCAGAACATCCACAGTCTAGCCATCTCCGTGAAGCTTATGTGCAGAATCCTCAGGATTGGGAAGTCCTGAATTGGGATTTTCATATGAAATACTTTTAAAATCACGCAGTCATTATGTTGCACATGGTGGGTTCAGGACCAGTTGGAGAGTTGGGATCACTGATTGGGTTGCTGGGGTGGGGGTGGCTGGAGGGCAGGGGCAGGACCTCTGGAGTTGGCCTTCTGGGTGTGTGATTGCATGGTCACTGTCTGTCACCATCTTGGTTAGAGCAGAGTGAAGCATTTGTAGAGTTTATTACCTTGTAGTCTGAGTGGTTTATCGGCTGTGATTCACTTGTTGCTTGCCTTGCTGTGATGCAGTGACGGGGAGAGGAAAGGGAACCCTATGGTCACAGATTTCCAGGATGACCTAGACCTCGATGACCAGATGCTACAGGATCCAAGTGTGAAATCGCAGATTCCCAGTAAAAACATCACACTGTCCAGTGATGAAGATGAGAGTGCAAAAGTCACCGTTCGTCCAGATTTACCAAAACGGTCAGTGATAGAGAAGTAGCAAACAGTTGTTTTACTGACTGTAGGACAGTTTAAATTACTGTATCATGTGGTTTGGCATTAGAAGTACCATTCTGTCAATTTACATCAATGATCTGCCTTGGATGTGCTAGGCTCTATTTTAAAGTTTGCTCAAGACTGAAAACTCAAATGTAGCAAATGCTCAGGAGGTTGGTCTCAGAATTCACAAGGATACTGGCTGGTGAAATGGGCCGATGCATCATAGATAGATAGAAGTTAACGAGAAAAGGTGTGAAGTGCTGCATATTGATAGGGAAAATGAGAGGCAATGTAAAATAAATGGTACAAACTTAACAAGAGGTGCATAAACAAAGTGATGCAGGATTGTTTGTGCACAGATTCTTAAAAATAAAGGCTAATAATTGCACGTAGGGTTCAGGGATGTGTAGCTTAGGTGGGTTATAGGGGGATGGGTCTGGGTGGAATGCTCCAAGGTTCGGTGTGGACTTGTTGGGCTGAAGGGCCTGTTTCCACACTGTAGGGAGTCTGTGATACTATGATAATTGAGAAAATTGTGATGAAAAAAAACAGGTGGTTGGCTGTTTTAATAGAAGAGTAGAATACAATAGTAATGCGATGTTGCTAGCCCTTTATGAAACACTGAAGTCTTCGCTATAGGACTGACCCCAGACTTTAGGAAGGAAGTCACAGTCTTGGATGAGGGTAGGGGAGATTTGCTGATGCCACTGATGAACAGCATCCAATACATGGAGAGACTGGAGAAGCTTGGATTGTGCTTCTTTGAGCAGAGACGGTTAAGGTACATTTAACAGAAATGCTCTTTTAAATGAGATGACCTTTCAGTCTCACTGCCCTTCTGTTTTTCCTCAGCCCTACAAACGGTTTCCTTTTCAAGAATGTTTCAAATTTCAACTCTGTGCAAAACAAATTTACCTCATTATCCCTCTGCCTCTTCTGCAAATTATGTTAAATTCATGTCCTCTGATTAGCAATCCTACTGCCACTGGAAACAGTTTCTCCTTATGTACTTCATCAAAGATGAGGCTATCTGATTGTAAGATCTAAAATTCTCTGGGGGCTTGACTGGATAGATGCTGAGAGGATGTTCCCCCTCCTGAGGAAACTAGAACAAGGGGGCATGGTTTTAAAATGAGGTTAAGATGAGTGATTTCTACTGAGAGTTGTTCATATTTGAAATTCTCTAGCCAAGTGAGCAGTGGAGGCTGGCTTACTGAATATATTCAAGGCTGAGTTCAGAGTGATTTTTGATTGACAAGGGAGTTGAGGTCTGGGGGACAGACTGTAAAGTGGCGTTAAAGCCACAGTCAGATCGCTCCTGATCATGTTGAATGGTGGAGCAGGTTCAAAGGGCTGAATGGCCTGCTGCTGCTAATTCTTAGAGCTTGGGTTCCAGTTTGGAATATGGGCCTGCAAAGGTGAAGGAAGCAGTCAGTATAATTTTCAAAAAGGTATTGGATAGATTCAAGAGGAGCAAGTTTGAGGGCTTCTTGGGAGTGAGAGTAATTGAAAAATTCTGTTAAAGAACTAGTACAGGCACGGTGGTCCATTGGTCCCCTTCTGTTGTTTAAGATTCTATATAAGCAGTAAAGTTGCGTAGAGTGTCAGATTTTCCAATATTCCAACTTCATGATGGGCAAAGTGAAGATTGAGTTGTTTCTTGTGCAGTGAGGTTCCCTGAGCGTTTAGTGTCACTTCATGTTGTTACTGCTCGCCTGAAAAGCCAGTTAGTGCCTTGAGGTGACTGTTTGAGTCGTAACATTCAAGCTCACATTGTCCTCCACCCAATATTCCTGTCCATATTGATCAGACATCAGGAACTGGACATCATGGCTGATACCTATCTCACTCTGTCCCAAAGACTAGACGTAGTCAGAGAGCACATCCATGTGGATAACAAACTCTGTAAATAAATATTCCTTCCAATCACAGCCCCTTCTCCTACTATTGTGATGGCCCAGTGCCTGTCATTTTGGGTCTAACAACCTGGGTGCTCTTCCTTCATTAGTAAACCATTTGTATTTTCTGTTCCTCTTCAGGGCTTCCAAAAGTTTGTTAAAGTCCCAGGGTAGAGCTCCAACCAAAGCTTTCAAGCAGGACTTTGGCATCAGTTCATCTGCTGCTATAAAACCAGCCTCCAGCTTGTCTGGGAACAGTTTCCTGACTTCAGTCTCACCTCTGGCCTCTCCACTCATCCCAGTGCCAGCATCACTCCACACAACTGAGGGTAAAGGTCAGAACAAACCGACAACTCAAGAATGTGGAGAGTCATCAGAGAGTGATCTTGAGGGACCAATTGCAAAGCAGTTGCTGTCTTTTGTCATGGATGACCCGGACTTTGAGAGTGATGATTCCAACAGGAAAAACACAACTGTAAGTTTCATCTCTGCTCTTTACATTTTAAAATGTCATATGCTTCTTGCTTGTGGTTTTCGACTAGTCTAGCTGAGCAGAGTGACAGCAGGATAATGAAATCATAAATACTTCAATCACAAATCTTTGACATCAAGCACACACAGGTACATTGGCGTAAGGCTAAACCTTTATCTCTGTTCCAAAGCAAGCATCGCAGGTTTGGCCAAATTCCCACAGCTTGCTTTCATCCCACAAGCTCAAGCTGACTGTGTTTGCTCTCCAAAGTGCAGTGAGCTGACTGACCGCTCTCCCACATGCAGGACACTGGCTGACTGCTCTCTGAAATGCAGCACCCCAACTGACCGCTCCCCCCGGAGCCAGGACACTGACTGACCGCTCCCCCAGAGTCAGCTCACTGCCTGGTTACAGGCTCAGACCCGTCTTCCTGATTGCTGCGTCCAGCATTCTCCTGGCTAATTTTCCCACCACCTTCTCATCCTAATTCGGATATTATCAGAAATCTGCAAGACTTTGGGACCCGCCTCACGTGCTGTTGCTAATGGTTCTGGTACACTGGTGGAGAACAAGGGAAATGGAACGCCAGGCCATTCTAACGACAAATATCCCTGACTGGGAAGAGAGATTCTGAGAGGGTTTGGATTGAATTATGGATGGGATGGGGTGGGGGGCAGCAGCTTGATGGGGATAGAATGTGAAAGAGGAGAATCGGTGATGGAAGTTGTTAAGACTGACAGACGCAATTATTTGATACGACTTACCGTTGAAAAACTTTTCTTTATATTAAAAATCAAAGTTCAGTCAATAGAATAGAAAGTGTTTGGACCAGGTTTTCCTGAGAATTGAAAGAATGCATTGGTGTAAATTGTTTAGATGATGTAGGTGATACCAGTTTGTGGAGATTGTTTTCAGTGAAAACAGATCCCAGATAGACTTTGATATTCCATGACTATAAATAAGTCAATACCAGACTCTTAACATTTATATTTTTACTTCTGGGCCTGTTTTTACACATCAACAAATTTATAGAACTGTTTGCTGAGTAGGAAGTCTGATTCTGTTCAAGTCTCTGGTGAAAATAAAATGACAAATTGCATATTTAATTAAATTCTGTTGTAGTAGAAATACTCACTTGACATTAAATGTTTTGCAAGTCCCCACTAGTCTGAAATAGAAACAGAAAATTCTGTAGGTCTGGCAGAAGCATCTGTGGAGCCAGAAGCAGAGTTAACGGTAGGGTGGGAGAAAGGATTTCTGGGTTCTTCAAACACTATCATAGCCCACTTGAGTCAATGGTCTGTTTCTGCTGTGGGTTAGCTAAACTACAGCACCTTTTACCTTCTCGGGTTGTTTGCTGTGAAATGTATTTACTGTTGTATTGTAGGAAATGCATCAGCCAATTTGCTCAGTCAGCTCCCAAAAACAGTAATGTGATAATCAGCAAATAATCTTCATGGTATGTCAATTGAGGGATAAGTATTAACCAAGGCACCAGGAAGACGTCATCTACATTTTTTTACAATCAAGTCTTTAATGTCCACCTGAGAAGGCAGCTGGAGCTGTTGGTTTTACCCCTCACCTGGCAGTGCAGGTCTCTCACAGTGTTGCACTAGAATGTGTCACATGGATGATGATCAGTTCTCTGCACTGACCTGAAGCCATACATTTCTCATTTGGAGCTGTGTGTGTTAGTGCTGAGGCTAGGCTCTTCAGTTTACCTGGCTTTGAAGCCAGCCTCCTTCCACTTCTCGTGATTCCCTTCCTGAAGTAGTAACTGTTGACTGGTGATGCTTTTTGCAGGAGACATTTCCGGTTCGAGAGGACAGCTCTGAGCTCTCCAACGATGAATTCAGTTTAGGAAAGCTCAGTGTGCCAGTGAAGCCGTCAACCCAGACCAAAAAGCAAACTACTGACTTCGACTTGTTTGGCTTGGGCATCGATACTAAAACTCCTGCAGCTCCAGAAAGCAGCAATGAAGGTGACATCAGGAGCTCGTGCTCAATCAATGTTTTGAGTTTATTAATGAGAGGAGTTGCTGTGGATATTAGCATAAGACATAATATATTGCAGAAACCTTGCATTTATTAGTGTTAGATGGGCTGTAGGGCACTGGATATTTTTAAAATCAAATTTCTCCTTCATTGCGTTTCATGTTTTCCTGATATCACAAACAATTACTTTGTGATCTCCTCTAGGGGAGACTGTGGCATAGCAGATAGTAACTGATCTAGAAATTCCGAGACCCGGAATATTGCTTTGGGGACAAGGACTCAAATTCCATCACAGCAGCTTTCGATTAATTACAGAAGGAAATATGGTATTTAAAGCAAGTTTCATAATCTGTCATCTTTACCTGGTCTAGTCTACATTTGACTCCAGGCCCAATGTGGTTCCAGTCTTAAATATCCTGTGAAATGAGTGAGCGGCCCACCCAATTCAAGCACAAGGGCAGTAAGGGGTGGGCAACAGATGCTGGTCTCATCAGCAGTGTCATCATCCCATAAATAAATAAATAAGATTTCCAGGAAAGCTTGCCAGCAGTCAGAGAGTGAGCACCCCCACCCCCGAGAGAGAAAGAAGCCACCCAATGGAGAAAGAGGGACCAATAGGGTAAGTGTCCAAAACTGTGTAAAATATTCCAGGTATGATCTCACCGAAGTCCTGAACAGTTGCAACAACATTTCTTACATTTGCATTCTTAAACCACCCCTCCTGTCCCCACCCGCAGTAAAGGGCAACGTAACATTTGCTTTCCTCCTTGCTCATTATAGCTGCATGTCTGTCTGTATCCACATTATTGTTGATGATTTACATCTGCTCAACTCTTAGACTTCAGGTGGAAGTACAGTCCCGTTCAAGCAAGGCCTGAAATCTAGGTCTTTTCCACCTTTCTTCAGTTCTGAAAAAGACTCCTACTGAACTCAAAAGATTAACTCTATTTCTTTCTCTACAGTTGAGATTGTAAGTTGTAGGAACAGAACTCCTGTGCAATTCTGTAAGATCATGGCTGATTCGATCATTCTCAACTGCAGTTTCCTACCATATCCTCATAACCCTAGATTCCCTTACTGATTAAAAATCTGCCACGAATATACCTCATGACTCGGCTTCAACCACCCTCTCCAGTGAATAGTTCAACAGATTTATTACCTTATGAAAAAAAAACCTCCTCAACGCTGTCCTAACTGGGTGATCCCTTACTCTGAGATTATGTCCTCTTTTCTTAGACTTTCCAACAAGGGGAAACAATGTCCCCACCCTTTAAAGGGTTGAGCCCCCTCAGAACCTTATGATTCAGTACGGTTGCCTTTCATTCTTCTAAACCGCAATGGATACACACTGTATCTACTCCTCATGAGACAGTCCCTCAATACCTGGTATCCTCTTAGTGAACGTTCTCTGTGCTGCCTGCAATGTCAGTATATCTTTCATTAGATAAGGGACCCAGAACTGTTCAGTATTCCAGCTGTGGCCTAACTAGTGCCTTGTATAGTTGGAACAATGATTCCCTGTTTTGCATTCTATTCCCTTTGAAGCAAAGATCGACATTCCATTTACCTGCTGAACTTGGATGCTGATTTTTTTTTTTGTGATTTATGCACGAGGGCAGCACAGTGGCTTGGTGGTTTGCATTGCTGCCTCTCAGTGCCAGGTACCTGGGTTTGATTGCACCCTTGGACAACTGTCTGTGTGGAGTTTGCACATTCTCCCGTTCCTGTGGGGGTTTCCTCTGGGTGCTCTGGTTTCCTATCTCGGTCCAAAGATGTGGAAGTTATGTGGATCATGTTAAATTGCCCACAGTGTCCAGGGATGTGCTATGGGAAATGCAGCATTACAGGGATATGGTAGAGGGATGGGTCTGAGTGGGGCGCTCATTGAAGGGTTGATGTGAACTCAATGGGCTGAATGCCCTGCTTCCATATTGTAGGGATTCTGCGATTATTAACAACCTTGTATGGTACCTTATTTTACAAGTCTAAATATACTGCATCCACTATTCACCTTATCGACTCTGTTAGTTACATCTTCAGCAGACACCATTTAATTGTTGACTCTTCCTAATCATGATTTCTTAGTGTCCTGCTGCGACTCCTTAATGAATTCTAGCATTTCCCCAAAGACTGTTGTGAGGTTACTTAGTCTGAAGTTCTCATTTTGCTCTGTCTCATTCCTTGAATTGATATTTGCCAATGTCTTAACCACAGATTCAAGAGTCTCATGAAATTTGGAAAATCAAATTGGTGCATTTACTATCAACTAAAGCCATATATATCACAGCAACGGTGTTGCCCTCATCTACTCTCTGTCGCCTCATCAAAGAAGCTCTAAGTTTGCTAAACCTGTTTTTTAATCCTTTTGACCAAGTTCAAGCTGTTTTCTCTTAATTAATCCAGATTTTGTTCCTACTTTTACTATTGTAGCCTACAACTTGGGAGCATCATCCTTGATAAAGACAGGTGCAATGTCCTCATTTAGTATCTCAGCCATGCTCTGTCTCCTTTTTGGGTCCAAATTAACCCCATCCTTTCTTTTGCTATGCTTTTAGTATTTATATAAACCTACGGCAAACGTTTGGATTCATTTTAATATTGGAGGCCTACAGAATGCACTCAGCAATATAATAATATGTTTGATATGTTTTAGCTGTAAGTAAATAGATTCTGGCCTTGACCTCCTCCAGAACTTAAAGTTTTCAAGAGATTTGTAGATCGGGTTGCGGATGAGATTGTAGACATGCTCGCTGAGCCGGTGTGTTTGGTTGCAAACGTTTCATCACCCTGCTAGGTAACATCATCAGTGTGCCTCCAATGACGCGTTGGTGTTCTGTCCCACTTGTTTATATGCCACGGTTTGCTGGGGTTGTTGGTATCACTTCTGGTTTTGTTTCTCAGTGGTTTGTACACATACCCAAAACCAGCAAAACTAGGGTAACATATAAAATATTATGCAGGGACTGTGGGAAACACCATATAGCCCAAACCGGAAGAAAATTGACAATACAGATACACGTACACCAACTAGCCACCAAGAGACATGACCAATTCTCACTTGTCTCACTACACACTGACAAAGAGGGACATGAATTCGACTGGGACAACATGTCGATTTCGCACAAGCCAAACAGAAACATGCCAGGGAATTCTTGGAGGCCTGATATTCCAAATGGAACTCCATCAACAAACATATTGAATTAGACTCTGTGTACAAACCACTGAGAAACAAAACCAGAAGTAACACCAACCACCCCAGCAAACCGAGGCATATAAATAACAAGTGGGACAGAACACCAACGCTTCACTGGAGGCGCACTGACGATGTTACTTAGCAAGGTGACAAAACATTTGCAAACAAACCCACTGGCTTGGTGAGCATGTCTACAACCTCTTCCAGAACGTCCTATCTCTCCAACAACATAATTTTCTCCTAATCAATACAATCACCCCTTCACTTTCTTTCCCATATGGCTCGTACCCAAAAATGTGTAGCCCCCAGCTCTGCATTTCTTTGAACTGAGACTGTTATCACTACAACATCATACTCCCACATGGCTGTTCGAGCTTGCAGCTCACCATCCTTATTTATCAGGCTTTGCGTGTTTATGTAAATGCACTGCAAACCTATATGATCCTCCTTGTATTTCATCTGTTTGAACCCACTTCATACCTTGCTATTATTACTCTAGTACTATTCGTCTCTCTCAATTCCTTGTGCTGTTGTTGCTCCTTTAGGATGCTACATCCTGTTTCCAATTCCATGCCAAACTAGTGTTTTTTCTCTCTAACATCACTAGCAAACCACCCCATGGGAATATTGTTCTGGATGCAATGATATGCAATCCGTCTGACCTGTACAGATCCCATCTCCCCCCAAACTGGTCAAAATATCCCAGGAATCTAAAGCTCTCTGTCCTCCTCCACCTCTCCAATCATACAATTGTGTGTCTTATCTTTATTTTCTATACTTGTATGTGAAACCAGGATTATCCAGGGATTACTCCCTTTGAGTCTTGACATTCAGTACTGCATACCTGTTGGAGCAAGATGCACACAGGTAATTCCTGTACTACCAGCATGGCCCTCTTTGACTGTTCTCTGGCCCCTCTTAAGCTGCAGGGTGACTACCTCTAGAAACATACCAGTTATGAAGTGCTCAGCTTCTGAGACACACTGCAGTGATGCCTTGCTGCTGCTCAGCTTCTGAAGCTCAGAACCACAGCTCTTCTACCTGTTGACACTTTCTGTTATGTGCTATTCAGGATATAAGAATTGTCCTGGAGTTCCCACTTGGACTAGGATGTGCACTCTATAGAGCAGAGGTACCCTCTAATCTAATTTATTAGACTATTAACAAATAATAATAAACCTCACCAGCCACCAGTAGTTAAAGAAAGCAGCACCTCCTTTCTCTCTCCACCAAATTTCAGACTTTAACAGTCAGTTCTGCAATCATTCTCTGCTGTCTACCCTCATCAGTGAGAGAAGGAAATCCAGCTATTTAGTGGGGAGAGGGAAAGAGTTCATGATTAATGTTGGTAGTTGAGGGAATGGTGTCACTGGAGAGATTTAATAATCCTGGGAGTTTTGAGCTATCATGGATAATGATGCAACTGATGAAAGGTTTGACAGAATAATTTAAACCATGTTCAGAATTTTGCAGACAATGGTACTTACAAATTAAACACCAAAAAAGTATAGAAAATGTTTTTGAACTAAAATCTGGTGATTCATCCGGAACAGGAAAGTCTTAAATGTTTTTATGAAGGATTTAGACAGGGATGTAGGAGATGCATGGGGCGCCACAGTGGCTGAGTGGTTAGCACTGTTGCGTCAAAGCGTCAGGAACCCAGGTTCAATTCCACCCTCGGGTGACTGTCTGCGTAGAGTTTGCATATTCTCCCCATGTGTGCGTGGGTTTCTTCTGGGTGCTCCAGTTTCCTCCTATGGTCAAAGATGTGCAGATTAAATGGAGTGACTGCACTAAATTGCCCATAGTGTCCAGAGATGTGTAGACAAGGTGGGTTAACCATGGGAATTACAGGGATAGGGTTGATCTGGGTGGGATGCTCTTCGGAGGATCACTTTGATCTCGGTGGGCCGAATGGCCTGTTCGTACACTGCATAGATTCTATGATCTATGCAGTGGGGGTGTAGCTGGGCTAGATAGGGTGAAGATCTCTATTTGTAACTGCTACCATCCCATTTATAACAACAACCCGCTGGATGCCTTGTTGTCTCATGATGTTGCATTTCACATAGAGTGGAGTAATTCAAACCGCACATGTGAATGTACAGAGGGCTGAAGGTAAAAATGCAGATTTCACCATTCACCCATTTCCCTGGTGACAAGCTTGTATCTGGAAATGATTACTCAGCCACTCAGATTTGATATCTAAGCATTCAGCAAAATCTCCCAATTCTTACTCCGTATGCTGCAGGTGAGCAAACTGTAGTAATGAATGTAGGGGCATGTCGACTCCAGGGATATTAACTCTCAGCACATTGACTCAAATGAGCTTATGAAGTTGAACAATTTCCCACAATTCATATTTCTTTTGTTACAATACCTTATGTTTTCATTTGCAAGGAACCCAACAAAGTTCATTCTATTCTTTGTGAAAAGTTGATCTGATGATTAAAGTCTCAAAAATTCCTCATTATGTCCAGAATACAGTATGTCCTTCACGAACTGATCAGGCTCACTAGCCCTGTTTACTTTCACTCTGGTTAGGTTGTGAGCTTTGCCATGTTCTTAGCTAACCTTTAATAACATTAAAGGTTATAAGCAATAAGCAGCATGGCTTTGTGCAGGGAAGGTGGTGTCTCTCAAACTTGATTGAGTTTTTTGAGGAAGTGACCAAGATGATTGATGAGGGCAGGGCAGGGCAGGATATGTTGTCTATAGACTTTAGCAAGATCTCATGGCAGGCTGATACAAAGGTGAAGTCACATGGGACCCACAGTAAGATGGATACAGAACTAGTTTAATCATGGAACACAGAGTAGTGATGGAAGGGTGTTTTTCTGATTGGAGATCTGTTCCACAGGGATCAATGCCTGGACCCCTGTTGTTTGTAATATATGTAAATGATTTGGAGGAGAATGTAGGTGGACTATTTAGTAAGTTTGGGGATGACACAAAGATTGGGGGAACTGCAGGCAGTGAGGAGGATTGCTAGAGGATACAGCAGGATATAGGTAGGCTGGAGACTTGGATAGAGAAATGGCAGATGAGGTTAAATGCAGACAAATGCGAGGTGATGCAGAGGGAAGTATACAATAAATGGTAAAACCCTTAGAAGCGTCAATATACAGAGAGTTCTAGGCGTACAGGTCCACAGTTCCCTGAAAGTGGTAACACGGGATTAAGGTGGTCAAGAAGGCCTATGACATGCTTACCTTTATTGGTTGGGGAATACAGTATAAAAATTGGCAAGTCAATTTGCAGCAATTGTGTCCAGTTCTGATCGCCACACTAACAAAAGGATGTGGAGGCTTTGAAGAGAGTACAGAAATGATTTACCAGGATGTTGTCGGGTTTGGAGGGTATTAGCTAGTAGGAAAGATTGGACAAACTTGGTTTGCTTACCCTTGAACGTCAAAGGATGAAGGCTGAACTGCTAGAAGTTCACAAAATTATATGTGGCATGATAGAATAGATAGTCGGAGTCTTTTCCCCAGGGTAGAAATGTCAAGTACTAAGGGGACCATATACTTAAGGTGACAGGGAGTAAGTTCAAAGGAATTGAGAGGCAAATGTTTTACCCAGAGGGTGGTAAGTACCTGGAATGCGTTGCCTGAGGAGGTGGTGGAGGCGGATAAAATAGCAGTGTTTAAGAAGCATCTTGACAGACGTATGAATAGGCAGGGAATAGAGGGATATGGACCGCATAGAGACAAGAGATTTTTAGTTTAAAAGGTATCGTGTTCGCACAGCCTTGGTGGGCTGAAGGGCCTGTTTCTGTGCTGTACGGTTCTTTGTTAATCCTCCACCTCCACCCCAGGTGTGGCTTTAAGGTAGGTCCACAGTGAGGAAGTTTTCTGATGAGGAAAACGTTAGAATAGTGACTACAGATATGGTCTTCCTCTTTTGATGAACATACTTTATTAAGCAAAGCCTGTTCCCTTTCTGAACTGCTGCTAGCTGGAGGTTATTGTTACTTAGGTATGTTTCAGTGTTACAGCGCAGAAGGAGACTGTTTAGCCCATTGTATTCACACCCACTGTGAGCGTTTTGATTTAGTGCCTTTTCCTCGTAACTCTGCATATTGTTCCTATTTAAACAACCATCCAATGCCACCTTAAATGCCTCAATTGAACTTGCCACCACCATACTTGCAGGCAGTGTGTTCCATACCCTAACTACTTACTGTGTGAAAGTTTGTTTTGCTTGGTACAAGGTCATTTCAGTGGGGAGATGGTTGCAACTGGACAGAATATTGATGTTAGGAAGGATGTCTTGGATTTGAAGTGTGGTATTGTGAGTGTGCTGTATGCTGCTGCTGCTTTTTAGCCAGTATTAGCTTTGTATACTGAGTGAATGTCAATATGATGCCTTAGCATTAGCAGGATATGCATATGGTCTTCAAAATTATGCCAGTTGTATATTTGCATCCATTTGAGAAACAGAATTAGATTTGCAGTCTGCACCATACTGAAGTGTAGAAGCAGAGGATTCAGGCTGCAGGGACTATATTATTTCAAGACAGAGTTTAGCATCTGGTTCTGTGATAAACAAGGGAATGGCCACTCTGTTTACAGATGAAGGTCTGGAATTTCTGCTGTACTTAAAAGCACAGTCACCATGGGAATACTGATTGCTCTGATAGCATTATTGGGTGGCACAAGCATTAGGCAGGAATGAGTTTGGTTATTGAAGTGGAGATCAACTTTCTCTATTCCATTATTCTACCTGTGTTTGTTTGCTACTGAAGCCAAATTAAGCCAGGAATTGATTTCGTGCATGCTGGAAGCTCACTCCCATGAGCATATCGGGTGTTAGGAATTCACCTAGGTTGGACCCCTTCTGAGGTTCAGTGAAATCACTCTGATGAGTTGTTTGCGTGTCTTTGTATTTGGGCCACTTGTTTCATACTGTCAGGTACTTGTTGAAAGTAACCCAGAGACGTAGCAATAGTATCTCAAATGGGCAGGTGTTGTTAAATTTTACTTTTACTTTACACACACTCCAAGTAAACTGAGCTAAGTCTGGGTGACATGGAACCAGGCTGATATAAGATGAATAAATTGACCTGCCGGTGTCTCCATTTGTGCAATATCTCTAATGATACAAAAAAAAGCATGCCTTGTTAGCCTACAACTGAGGCAGAAAGAGTTCTAATCTTCCAACAGTTCTAAACTCTTGCCCTGATAAAACCCTTGCAATGTACCTCTTAACAAACCCGAGTGCCCTCACAACCCTCCTGTTCCAAAAAGGCAGTTTCCACTGTGTTTATATCCTCCACCTGTTCATAGGCCAGGATCTCTCATCTTTCAAACACCGTGCACTTGAAATGTTCTTCAGTTGTGCCAGGAAGTTAAAGAATTGCTTAATTATTGTTTAATCAATGGGAAAAACAACATCAATTTCACAAATTATTCGCTTGCTACTTAGTTCATTACTTCTGAAAATGTGTTTTGTTTTAAAATTCCCTTCTGTGTGAAAATGGTTAAAAAGTACTATAATGTTAATAGAAACCACCCTTTAGCACCCAGAGCAGGAACCTTAACCACATCATCTGGGGACTTTTCCATGTGGTAAATCCGAGACCTTTGGAAGGCTGGGAGTAGCTTACTCAGGTCCTCTGGGATTAGGCAGGGAAGGAGCAGAGATAAAACAGAACCTGGTCATCAGCATTAAACCAGGCTGTAGCCAGGCAGCAGGGTAGCATTGGAATTCAGAGCTTTAGGTGGAGGGAAGAACAGAACTTTGTGAATCCTCAATACTTTTTTAATATATTTGAATTTCTTTCACTTCTAGTTGGTGTGCAATTTCCTTGGTGGTTTAGTTAACCTGTCACAGCCAAGGTATAACTCAGCTGTAAGTGGCTGTGTAACCCTACCTTAGATGGCTGTTTAAGCTCACTGCTAACTGAATTTTGGTTCCTTGGCAGAGAAAACCAGCAAGGGTTCCTCCAAAGAAAAGAAGAAAAAGAAGAAAAAGACCCGAGAGGTAATTTTCTTTTTGTACAATACTCGCAGATTTAAATATTCTAGTGACAAGTATCCACAAAATACAGGCTAGACATTAAAGACTAGAGGAGGGAGAAAAGTGGGATTGGGGTTATCAGTTGTGACTCAATAAGCAATACTGAGTCAGAAGCTCCATTCTGAAAACTAGAACCCACAGTGCCAGCTGACCTTCCATCCTGCAGTGTCACGCCCTGTACTGCCCTGTCACAGATGCCATCTTCTGGATGAGATATTAAAACAAGGCTCTATCTGACCTCTCTGTGAACCTAAAGCATCCATGAGTTTCTAACCACTTTCAGGAGTGAAACAGTGCTGTTTCATTCTTAACTCAGCCCTGGAATGTTTACAGAATGTAATATCTCTTCATTTGTGACGTGTTTTTTGTAAATGAGAAAAAGGACAGACAAGTAGTTTTATAGCATTTTTCATGACGTCCCTAAGTACTTTACAGTCCATAAAGTTTAAATGTGGGGAGTGCCACAGCCTCGTGTTGAAAGAGAGAGCGATAGGTTTGAGTTTGTGAAAATGCTGAAGGTATTGAGAATTCCTTTTCCAATAACTTTATCTGGGGAATGCTGTAGTGTAAAGAGTTGAGAGCACGTGTGCACCATGTGTTTTACATTTTCAGGAGGATGAGAAATTGGAGAAAAAGAGACACAAGCCAAGGAAAAATAAAGAGAAGGAGAAAGACAAAACAGAGGAGAGACCAAAAAAGGAGAAGCAAGTGACATCTGACGACAAGAGGAGGAGGAAGAAAGTGAAGACCAAGGACAAAGCTGATGAGGACATGGAGGATTTGGAGAAGTTTCTAATTGGCAGCGGTGATAGCCATGTTGTGAGGAGCAAGGGGAGTGGAGACTACGAGGAACTATAGACTTGGCCTGAATTCTGCGTTGTCTTCATATTACTTCCCTGTTCCCACACTTTAAAAATTCCTCTCTAACATTGGCACAGACGTGTGCCTGAGCTTTGTGGAAGAAACTGTGCCGAGCTCTGGGAATTCCACTCGTCTCCCATCACAGGCTGATTTTGTACATTTCTAACTATTTATAGGGTGGGTTGTTTTGACGGTGTACTGCTGTGATACACGGCCTGAGCTAGCTCCAGCTCTCTGGTTACTTTAATCGAGTGATCAGTGCCTCAGCAACCGTAGTGTCATTTTCTAATGCCAGTCTCTTGAGAAATGAGAGGGCTCTGCAAAGTTGGAAAGGAAAATTTTAGCCTTGAGCCCTGTTTCCCCATAGAATCCATGGTGTTCGAATCATATCTAGTTTCAGGATCTATGAGCAGGTGCGGCCTTACTGCAGTCCACAGCTCTGTTTATTTGCCAGTTTGTGGCCAGATAAGAATGGCTCAGTGTAACACCCAGCCCATCCAAATTCTCTGCCAGTTACATTGCACAGCACTGATGAGCAACTCCTACCTACCCCAAAAGTTTTGACGGCTGCATGATGCTAAAACCCCTGAGACATCTGAGAGTTGAGGATGCTTTGTCTCTCTTCCCTTCACCATTTCCAAAATTAGCCTTTCCTTTCCTTTGTAATGCCCCAATCCTTAAAAGCCACTGCAGTAAGAGTTTGGGTGTTTCATTCAGCAAACTATATACCGCCGCTCCTCCGCCAGAGGCCAAGACTGGTGCTCGTTGCTGGTCTCTCACCACCTCAATAGGGTTGCCAGCATATTAGGAAAGAGTGAGGATTCACATCTGTCCAAGCTTTGTCTCATAAACTTTTATTTCCATCATCTTTCAGTTAGAAAGTCAGGGAAGTAGCTTGCTGTGACTTCAAATTGAGTGAAAAGAAGGACAAGTGTAATTAAGGCAGGCTACAATTTCAAATAAAACTGTAATGATTAGTGTCTAATTGTTGGGTGAAGCGATTTTATTGGGTGATGAAGGAACCTACTAGACAGTTAACCAATTAACTCCTGAACCAACATTGGACCTGTGCAGTACCCAGTTCTTGACTATGTGCATTATGACATTGTCAGACTATTTGAGGCCTGGCAGGTGATATGAAAGTCTCTGCTGAATGGGTGGCTGAATACAAGAGCCAGGAGATTGAAGGAGATCAGTCAAGGTGACTCTGATCTGACCAGGAATTGGAGCTATCATTCTTGAGGGCAGCTATTATGGAGCAAATGCTAAGACTGGAGCTGATACTCTCTCACGTTTACAATACAGTTTACAATGCTGCGGTTGTGGGATGTTTCTTTTGAGACACACTCTACATTGCAGACTATACTGTCCTAGAGCTTGTCAGTAAGTGGGACAATGTCCGCTCCAGCCCCATCATCCTGATATAAGGTGCAGGATTCAAGCAAACACCTCTTCTTCAATCATTACCTTTGTGCCCAATTAGGTTTTAGTCAATCAAGTGCCAGGGTATAGCAAACCAGCAGTAATTCCCTTCTGAGATGCAAGAGTCTTGTTGCAACCAAGGCTGTTTCATTGTCCTGCTGCGGGGCTGATGTTGGTGCCAGTTTAGTGCTGTATTGGTGCATTCTTGTTTGTTTTGTGTTTTTCCCCCCCCTCACCTTGTATGTGTATTTTCTACCTTGTGCTGTGTTCACATTTTCCCTTTCATCCTGTGTTTGGGTTTGCATTTCCCCTGCATGCGGTGTTTGCGATTCTGTTACACCTCCCTGCCCCCACCCACCTCCAAATCCCTGGTGGTGATTGGCTTTTGCCCCCCTGGCACTGTGCCCCTCCACTCTCTGCTTGTGTCTACCTTCTTCCCCATCACACCAAGTTGTGTTGATTTGCTTTCCTTTGGTCACTTCATTAGCTCTACACCTGGCTTATTGCTCTGTCAGGCATCCTGAGAGCAGAAGGTTGGTTGGATGTCAAATAGCAACTTTAAGCTGGTTTAGGACAATGTTGCCTTTTGTACAATTGGCACTTGAGTTTGCCTGCAGCTCAAACATGTCTTCAGTCATGAAGATCCCCTTGTCTTTCGATCATGTCATTCAAAACTAAATAAAGCAATCCTTCCCTATTTAAGGTTGATCAAGTTTCCTGAATAGGAATTGCTCTGATGACGTGTAATATTGTATGCTGAGGTTCTCAAACAAGCTATGGGATCCTTTGCAGTTTCTAAGTTCCGAACACTCGGAGTGGAGGAGTATAGAATTTCCAGCATATTATCATTGTTTCCTCCGTTACTTCACATCATGCTACAAAGATTTAAACCTGTCAAAGATTTCACACCTTGAACAATATTGATCAATATTAATCCTTTAAAATTGCTCCAGATTGGCAGCCTTGAAATACAGTAAGTCCCTGCTTAAAGTTGTGGTTGTGCTCCTGAAAGTTGCAACTTGAAGCGAAATGACTGATTCCTATGGGAACTATGATTCACAATGTTAAAGTCAGAGTTAGGTTCCTTTTGGAATTTTTTTGCCCAGAGTAAAATAATGTACAAGTTTAAATACTTGTACTATACATGTACAGCACTGTGTATTTCTAAGTGAAATAACTTGCAAAATGTAATAATCATTAAATATGAGGTGCAATGCAGTACACCCCTGTATGATATTTTAAACGATACACTGACCTGTATATTTACATTAGCTTAGCCCCACATAGTGGCATTTATTAAGTGGTGCAGGGAGTTACAGAATCATCTGGAAGTCTCATCTGGTAGCACAAGTTCAGAACAGCAGCCAGGAGAAAGGAGTTGCTTCATGTGGTGGAGTGTGTGTATGTGAGAGAGATGAGGTCTCTGTTGCTCTTTGCATCTAGGTAGCCCTGGATGCCAGCTACTTGAAGAATCACCCAGAGAATATTCATTCTTCTACAAACAGCAGCAGCAAGTGTTTGACAACAAATCAACAGAAGTGCTAATGTACAGAATAGTTATCACCACACTCGTGTGGATGTGCGAGCGTGCACTGCCAGCCAGCTCCCCTTTCCCCATATTCCTGGAGAAGCTATGTACCAAGGGAAAGTGTCGGGAAGCTCAGTTACTCATCGAGCTGTCATTTCTTTTTCTGGATGATTCCTCAGAATGTAACCATCCAGGGTAAGAAGCAGCAGAGACTCTATCGCAGTTTCTCCCCTCCTAATCTGAGATGTCTAAGCAGCAACACCTAGATTTTGTGACTCACTGATTTGAGTTCTGAAGCTGAGATAGTGTTTTTCTGTTTCTGGTTTCTAACATCTCGAATGCAGCATCTATGATCTGGCTAGCTTGGTTTTGCAATCTAAGCATTTGCTACTGTTTTGTCAAGGGAATGAGTAGAAGAAAGGGGCCCAAATCAGTTGCTCTTTTTGATCAAGTTTGGACTCCCCTTTGTTACAGTCTCTCAGAGCAGCCTTTGTTCTGCCGGCCGGTGCGTAAGGTGCACAGGAGGCTGTGTGGGCCATTCTCACGCAGTTCCCTGTGATTTCCAGCAGCTCTGGACCCAGTTACTTGTCGAAAGAGCAGGAGGATAAGTCTTGAGGGAAGTGGACCCAATCTCTGAAATGCAGAAGGATAGGGAGAGTTTCTGCCACCACGTGGTAAGTGTGCCTGGAATTTGCTTTTAGGTTTTTAGTTTGAGGTTAGAACAAGAGCTGTTTGAAACTGCTCCCAAGTAGGCCCACTCCACTGTTCTCTTTTCCCAGTACAGTCTGAACATTTGCGCCAGATTGATGCCACAAAGAGAGGCAGCAATTTCAAACCTTCCCAAAATGCTGATGATTCTGAGGGTCATTTGTAGCTATCATGATTGGGATTGATAATTTTTTGGGGGTGTAATGGGTTTAAGGAATATGGAGCAAAAGTGATAAATGGTGTTAAGATGCAGATCAACCAAATGGTGACACTAGCTCGGGGGTCTGATTCATCTCCTCTTCAATGTTTGGAGAATTTATGCTAAAGGTCCCTGGCTTAGAAGGCAGATTCCAAATATGGACAGATTGTTTGCATTGCTCATTAACTGACACCAAAGGAATGGGTGTTGGGTTATTCGAGGACAGTTTGCTCATTCACCAGCTCAAACAAGTGGTAATGGTCAGATCCGCTCCCTCTGGCTGATAGTTTGTGAAAATAGTCAGTTACAGGCTAGTGGTGGATGCCCTGGGACCTTCCTTTGCACTCTGTATGTAACTTATCTTCAACATGTTTGTTCATTAAAGGCAAAAAAATATTTTCTCGCTTAAGCGGCTGGACTGATTGTTTTTGGTCAGTTTTATTTGGTCAATTTTATATGCATCCTCTAGGTCAACCTGTTTCATGTGATACAGTGACACACAATTCATTGAATAAGTGTGAATTGAGTGGAAACCCACCGGATAGTGAGCACCAACCGGGAGCCCACCGAATAATGTTGTGGGGTCCAGGTTTGAATGCCACGGTTGCAGATGGTGGAATTTGAATTCAATATGAAAAGACATCTGGAATTCAGGTTCTAATGATGAACGTGAAACCACCATTGATTGTTGTAAAAACCCATCTGGATCACTGATGTCCTTCAGGGAAGAAAGCTGCCATCATTACCTGGTCTGGCCTACATGTGACCCCAGACCCACAGAAATGTGGCTGACCCTTTGGAATATAGGGATGGGCAATTTATGCTGGCTTAGCCAGTGACACCCACATCCCCTGAATGAATTTTTTTTTTAAATTGTGCATGCGCCAGTTTTTTGAGTCAGTGTCAATCTCCTGCCTTTTCCCCATATCCCTGCAAACCACTTCTATCTATATTATCATCCAATGCCCTCTTAAGTGCCTCAATTGAACCTGCCTCAACCACATTTCCAGACAATTCATTCCATACCCTAACTACACACTGTGAGAAAAAGTTTCTTTTCTCACATCATCTTTGCTTCTTTTGCAAATCACTTGCAAAACTCATTCTTGTTTCTTTTGCCAGCAACAAATCCAGCCTGGTCATGATTTTGAAAACCACTATCACGTCTCCTGTCAGCTTTCTCCTGTCCAGGGAGACAGTCCCATCATCTTCAGTCTGTCCTCAGAACTGAAGTTTCTCATTTCCTGGAACTAGTCTTGTAAACCACTTTTGCACTCTTTTGAATGGTTAAACATGACTATGTCTATAACTATACAGAAACTCCAACTGAGGTCTAACAGTCCTCGTAGTTTAAAATTCTCCAAAGTTTGAAGTCATCTGCAAACTTTTGTACTGTGCAAACCCAGATCAAGATCATTAATCTGTGTCAGGAAAAGCAAGGGTCCCAATACTGACCCCTGGGTAGCTCCAGCACAAACCTTCCTGGAGACAAAAAAATTTCCCTTGACCATTACTCTCTCCTGTCACTCAGCCAATTTCGTATCTGCGTATCCACTCACTTTTATACAATGACCTACACCTTTCCTCGTAAGTCTGTTGCATGGCACTGAATAAAGACTCTCTGGAAATCCACATCAAAAGTGTTACCCTCATCAAAAAAATAACTCTAGCAAGTTAATTAAACTTGATTTCCCCTTTAGAAATTCATGCTGGCTTTTCCCAAACAACTGACCTTTCTGTATGTGACGACTGATTCTGTTCTGATTAATTTGTTACCAAAGTTTACCCACTACCAGAGTTAATTGGTCTATAACATACTGAAAACTCACCGGATCACTCCTACTGATGGGAACGTCACTAGATCAGTCTCAATGAAAGGAAACTTGCTGGACGATCATCCAGTGATCTGGGACAAAATCTTTAGTTTTATTTAGAGTCACCACCAGGAGTCAGTGGATACCAGCTTGCAGAATTGCTGCACTTGCTGTAAAGAGCAAACTTCTTTCTACATTTTTGGTTACCCTGCTCTGTCTTTGGGAGTCATTGTCTAACAAGCTAGTAGCTGGATGTTCTGGGTTAAAGAACAGAAAATACACAAAATTTACAACTTGGCAATGAACCATTCAATCTATTTAGTCAATGCCTGTGTTTATTATCCACACCTGCAAGTAGCCTGGACTACATTAACCTACCCTGTCACCATATACCTCTAATACTTTTTCCTTTATTCTGCCCATTTCAACCTAATCTACAAAATTGACTATGTACAATGTTGCCTCCCAAACAAACTCTAACAGTACTCATCGTGTCACAGTTTACAGTGTGAACCAAGTCTACTGCGGTCTACCCTGCCTGTGATTTAACTCTGGTTTACAGCACACTGAAGCTCATGGCCGTGCATATTTCCTTGAATTACTGTCTGAATAAAGCTTAAATCAGCAAAGGCTTATTACCCCACCATTCTCTTCCCTTATCCAACAATCGTTCCCACTTCCTCCACATATTTCTCAGTCCCACCCTTTCCCTGTGTACATCAGTCCCACCCTGTCCAGCAATATCCCTTAGTTCCTCCCAACCCCTCTCCATATCTCTTATTTCCACCAACCCTCTCCATGTATCCCTCACTTGACATCCTCTCCATGCATCCCTCAGTTCCATGCATCCCTCAGTTCCATCCACCCTCTCTCCATATCTCTCACTCTTACCATTTCTCAGTATCCCTCGATCCTACAACCCTCTCCTTTATTCCTTAATCCCTCCCACCCACTTTCCTTATCCCTCATTCCAAACACCCTATCCCTGTGTCCCTCGGTCCCAGACCATCCCCACTCACCACGTTCCCCCCCACCGGCCCCTTTCACCACGTCTCTCTTTCTTTCTTTCTTTCCTATTGTAGTTCATTTTGAGAGCAATTTTTGAGCAGTCCAATTCCTGCCAGGACGTACTTCCTTCTAGTTTTCATGTCCATGTGTTGTATGAGGTACAATGTCTGAATGTGTGGGGAGTGCCACTTGTTTCTCTGCTTGAGTATCTGTACCCACTCCACTTCCTGTGGCTCCCTCCTGATGAACGCCAACTTTTTCACAAAGCAAACACGTTTTTGAATCAAGGTGTTGAACCATGTTCAGACCAGATGTCTTCCTTGAGACACTCTGGACCTGGGACCATGTGACCCAATCCAGTCTCCAGCCCCCTGACACTGTTGACCACCTTAAGGACTGAGGGGCAATGCCACACCAGAACCAATGCGGGAGTTGTTCAGATTGTGTTAAAGGAGACAAGGTGGTCAAGTTGATAAATTGTATCTGGAGAACTGGACCAGGCTTTTAGTGAAATTGACTGTAAATCTTGGGAGTTAATTGGAAGGTTTATGACACTGCATTGTTAGGCAAATGATTTTTGATATAATTTGGAGCAGAGGAGCTGTGAACAGATTCACCAGTAGTGCTTCAATTAAACAAAGGCACCTTGAGTTTCTCTGCTTCAGCCTCCCGATGTGATTTTCCCCATGGGACAGGAGGAAGGGGAAATAAAGCTGGACAGTGTTTAGACTGATAAGGGCGTGATAGGGCACTAGGGATCATTTAGTCAGTGTTTAGACAGAGCTGTATGATGGGGCATTGAGGATAGTTTAGACAGAGGGCTGTCTGATGGGTCATTAGGGATCATTTAGTCAGTGTTTAGACAGCACTGTGTGACGTGGCATTGGTGGTTTAGTTAATGTTTAGATAGAATGCTGTGTAATGGGACATTGGGGATAATTTATTCAGTGTTTAGATAGAGGGCTGTGTGACAGGGCATTGGGGTTAATTTAGTCATGTTCAGAAAGAGCACTGTGTGATGGGGCTTTGGGTGTTTTTTATGTCCGTGTTTCAAGTGCTGTGTGTCGGGGCACTGGGGGTAATTTAGATGTTGCTGTGTGATGTGGCACTGGGGGTAATTTGGACCAGGCGCTGGGGGTTATTTAGACAGTGTTTAGACAGCGCTGTTTGACAGGGTTGTGGAGGTCGAGTTGTCCACTTTGTTTTCTAGCATTCCCAGTGATTGAACTGCATGACCAGCTGCAGAATACCTCCCTGCCTTCTGAAATCACCATCTCCCACCTTCCATTCAATTTCTTCATGATATCTGCATATTGCTGTCTCCATTTATTAGTGTGGCAAAGGTGGAGTTGACCTATGGTAATCCTTTTCCAGTCCTGTACTGTTACACTCTCCCCTTGTCCAGTAGTGGGTTTGTCTGGCAGTCTGTCTCCCACCAGTTGCACTTGGCAGGTCAGTTGCTTTCAACTTGCGTGTTAGTTTCAGACTGACCTTTAACCTCAGCTGTAAAAAATTGCCTTGTCCTGGAAACATTCTTCGCTATGGCCAGAGATCGCCTGAGTTGCCATGGACATCCTTGTGGGCTCATCAGACACACACTCAGGAATTCCCCGTATGAATTCAAGGTCACAAGAAATAGGAGCACATGTAGGCCATTCAGTTTCTCCAGCCTGCTCCGCATTTAATAAGATCATGGTTGACCTGACTCTGACCTTAACTCCGCTTTCCTGCCTGACCTCATCATATTCCTCAATTCCTTTGCCTATCCAAAATCGATTTAAACTCAGCCTTGACTATCTCCTGTGACTACACCCCCTCTGCTCTCTGGGGGGAGGGAATTCCACAACTCTCAACCCTCGGAGAGGCAAATTTTCTCCTTATCTCTATCTCAAATGAGACAGCCTTTATTCTGAAACTGTGCCCCGTAACACAAGCTGTCACTGAGGGGGAAATTTCTTATTGACATCTAACCAATCAGGTCTCTTCAGCATCTCGAATTTCTATATTTTTTTTTGTCTAAACTCCAACCTGCTTGATCTTTCTTCATAAGACAAACCACTTTATCACAGGAATCAGACGTGATCCATCTGATTTTTCCGTGCCAGTGTTTTTAAACAAGGAGTCCAAAATAATCCAAGTGTGGTTTCACCAATGCTGTGTGCAGGTGTAGCTAGGCTTCCTGCTTATATAGTCTCTGGCCAAATGTCCATTTGCCTTGCTCAAGTGAGTACAGAAATAGGAGAATAGGGCAGATGAACATGTAGCTCAAAAGTTGGTGCATGAGGGAGGGTTCCAGATTCCTCAATCACTGGGAATGTTTCTGGGGAAGGTGGGACCTCTAAAAGTGGGATGGTCTGCACCTGAACCAGCATGGGACCAATATTCTTATGGGAGACTTTGTTAGTGCTGTTGAGAGAGACAGTGTGTTAGTTCAATAGATTGTGAGGTTCTTGAGCAGGTTGACATAAGGACTGAGGAGACTTTGATGGGTTTAAAAGGAGCCAAACTCCAGGCCCAAATGAATTATATCTGGAGAAGTGGACCAGGCTGCCATGGGGGAGGAGGAAAGAAATTACAGTGGCCCTAA